AAAGGTAAAGGTTCCCCTCGCACATATGTGCTAGTCATTCCTGACTCTAGGGGGCGGTGCTCATCTCCGTTTCAAAGCCGAAGAGCCAGTGCTGTCCGAAGAAGTCTCCATGGACATGTGGCCGGCATGACTAAATGCTGAAGGTGCACGGAATGCTGTTATCTTCCCACCAAAGGTGGCTCCTATTTTTCTACTTGCATTTTTATGTGCTTTTGAATTGTTAGATTGGCAGAAGCTGGGACAAGTAATGGGAGCTCACTCCATTATGCAGCGCTAGGGATTCGAACTGCCGATCTTTCTCATCGACAAGCTCAGTGTCTTAGCCACTGAGCCACCACATACCTCAGCAAGAATAGTTACTTTCTCTTAAAGAAGGGCTGACAGCTCCCCCAAACCATTGAATCAGATATTGTAAATTACCTTTATTACCTTTAATTACTCCTCTAGAACAGCTCAAAAGTCTCAATAATTGCTCCCCATACCACTCAAAAAAGATGCTTTTTAAGGAAAAAAAAATGGCCAGAGTATCTCAAGCACAGAGAAGTCACCATAGGATTTTTATGTTTATCTCTCACTCATACGCTTCCACACATGGCAGCACATGGCTGACCATATCAATGCTCATAAGCTATGTAGATTCTGGGCTCATGTGGGAGACCATCAGAGCATTTCAGGACTCTAGGGCTAGACATCAATCCAAAAGGCATCTCAGGCAATGCTAAATCACCTCCATAGCAAAACTTCATGGATGCGGATTACCTTTTACTCACCCAAGCATATCATCATTATTTACATCATAAATGCCTCTTCCACACTGACCAGGTTCTTGTTTGCTGAATGTATAAAACATCACTTCACATTTATAGCAAAGAACCAAGACAAGCTAGTGTCAGCAAAAGCAAAAAAAAAATGGTCCCCCAGCAACACCCCAGAAGGGATGGATTCAGCGCTTTCCAAGATCACTAATAAGCCAGCCAAACAACTCAGATACTCCTAGAGCACTGGAAATTGCTGACAAGCCAAATTCTTATGCCCAAAAGACATGGCTACAGTCACTGATTAAAGCTCTAACATACTTAATATAGTGGCCACAAGTGTCTTAATGGGACCCCGCTGCCTTATTTTTGTTTTTGCAGCTAAGAAGCACATTTGAAACACTTATTAATTGTACAGTAAGGCAGGCACTGTATTGCACAGCTTACTGTGCTTTACTATCAAAAGGTTTTAGACCCACAATTTGGGAATCAGTACTTAAAGTATGTGGGTAATACACTCAGTAACCAGTAAACACATTTTCTGATTAGAAAAAAAGTACAAGAGGAAGAATGTTTCCATTATTGTAACACGGCTTGAAATATTGGTTAAGTAAACACTGGGGCAGACACAACTACCGTATATTCACATCTATCTATCTATCTATCTATCTTTCTATCTATCTATCTATGTTAATTTTCCAGCTTTAGTTAAAAGCCACATGCAGCCATAGGGACCAGGAACAAAACTGTAAACAAAGCAAGGGATGTCACCTATTCATTGAAAAGTCAAGTCTAACCTACACTTCTTTCCTATATAAATTTTATCTATGACATGTCAGTGTTAAGTACCATTGCTAATGCTCATATGACAGGAATATGAACACAGGCAGCACAACCAAACTGCATGACCAAAAACAAATTTGGTATCATACTGTAAATCCAGTATAGGTCAGAACTTTAGGAATCACTATGCTAGCATTAGTAACAATCAATACAAAAATCCCAAGGAAATGTTGCCTAGTAGGGGAGTATACAAAAGATTAACTGCCTGGATAATTTAGTGAGGCTCTTCATAGGGCAAGTACTGTACTTCTAATACATATCGGTATTAATGCTTAGGAAAGCAATTAACATGTGGGAAGTGCACAAAAGGACTGAAGACTAGAGCTGATCTTCATTTGATGGGCATAGATTGCTGGATAGAGAGATTAGGTCCTGTAGCTCTGAGAGTCAAACACAAAAAAAATGTTCATTTGTCCTAAACTTCTAAAGATTAAGAATCTTTTAATACAAGGAGTATAACATTAGCTATCAATATCAGATATCAGATATTCAATCGTAAAAAGATTCATTTCCATTCATCATTCATAAAAAAGAGGAAAAAACTAGAGAAAGTGATGATTAAGTGGGGGAAAAAAACCTATGAAAAATTTCACATTCTGTTTTATGCCTGAATTAGAATATATACAAGGTTTTTTTTACAGCCCTGCACAGAAGCTATACTTGTGAATATCTTTGCAAGAAGGACAGCCAGAGAGAATTGGCATCCAGACAGAGACAAACTTGGTCTAACTCCCTAGACTGCTGATTTCTCAGCTTTTTGACAGCTTCCCGAAGAAAGATCACACTGAAAAGTGCCAAGTGCGACGGCTGTAAAGGAAGAAAAGTGCAACCTCAACACATTTCGCCAGAAGTCCAAAAGGCCTGCACTCAGCACAAGTGCCGCCAATTCTTTGCTTACAAGAGAGCTGACAGCAGAGTGCATGATTCAACACAGGCCCCATTCTCAACATTCCTGGTTCAGCGCTATGCCATCAAACTAGTGTAAACACAATGACATCACCCATTCCAGCAGTAAAGGCAGCATCATCATAGGAAAAAGAAAAAGAAAAAGAAACTTTTAAGTGATGAAAAAGAAAACAGGCTACAGGGGAGAATCAGAAGCTGGAGGATATACCCATGTAGGAGGTTTTTCCACATGTGTAGTGTAAAAAGCAGTGGTGACACTATCTTGTTCTCATCTACACGTCTATGGCTCTGCTGTTCATGCATTTACAGAAACTTGTCTACAAATAACTTCCCAATTAGCTTTCTAAACTTAGATTGACATTTTAGCTAGTACTCTTAACCGGGCAAAATAATGTAGAAGAAAATGCTTGTCCTGTAAAATATCCAGAGAGATACCATCACTAGGGAATATTGCCTCCTCCAAATCAACATGACTTGCCTCAGGCAAAGTCTCCCAAATGTACCTAATGTTTCAACTTGCTTTCTACCACTATACCTCTTACTCAGCAGAATGGAAATCAAAATTCTACTTTTCCTACCTATCTAGAAGACTGTCAGCCTCATACTATTCCTATAATTGAAACTCATTTTTATAACAAAAACAAAGCTCCCTTCACATCTATGGATTTCTGTTTCTGAATAAATCACAGTTTGCTTTCTGTGAGCCACAATCACACAAGGAATTGCAATTCTGTAAATAGTCAATGCACATTGAGTTAGTCAAATAATTTCAGCACCTATGTCCAATTTGAGATAAATAGAGAAGTAGTGAGAAATTGTCTATATCAGATATGACTGGTTCATAATATCTGAACTATTCATTTTTCTCAAAATAGATGTATTAAAAATGTAATTTTATTTTAGAATCACAAGAAAAAAAATCTCGGTTGAAAAGACATCAGGGTAAAATGGCTAGCTCTTTTATGTACAATACATTTACAGATAATTAGCATGCCTTCACTATTCAAATTTAT